TGACTTCTTGAATATTATCACTTTTGGGAGAATTCTTAGTCTCCCAAACTTGAGAAACACCCAATCTTTCGTTACAAATGATTGATACGAACATGGGTGGATCTAGGATCCAACTCCCCTCCATTTCATAGTCTCTCCATTTCTCCAAGTTCCTACTTGGATTTGAGACACTCGTCATGGTAAAAATTAATGGATGAGATTTAATTGAATAAATTAAAATCTAAACCATAGTTAAAGTATTTATTTCCTTCTTTATTCATTCCTAAATAATATCTTTTACAATCCCATAATTATAGCTACACATTATCTAACATTCCTTCTCTCTTTCTTTCTTGTAGTAGTTTTCTTTCCATGAGTTAATTATTTTTCACTTCTACGAAATCTTCTTACATTTTTATTAAAAAAATTAAAAAAAATATTAGAAGTAAATTTCAACATTTGACAATAAAAACATTGGATTGGGCGCAACCAACTGCTGATAACTTTCCACCGCAATTGCAGTCCCTCCGATACAAGCAGAGACATTTCAGATTACCAATAACATGCTGCACTTGCTGCAAAATAAAGGGATGTTCTCCGGGTCGTACATCGAAGACCCACAACAACATCTGAAGAATTTTCTATCAATTTGTGTCACTCAAAGACAGCCGAATGTGACTTCTGAAGCAATCAGATTATTACTGTTCCCATTCTCAGTGACTGGGGAGGTTTAAACTTGGCTGAATTCGCTCCCAATAAACTCAATTGCTACTTGGGAGGAACTAGTCAAGCAGTTCTTAAACAAGTTCTATCGACCCAACAAAACTGCGAGGCAGATTGATGAGATATTGCAATTCAGGCAGAAACCGACTGAAACCTTGCAGGAAACCTGGGAGAGGTTTAAGGGTATGCTGGTGAAGTGTCCACACCATGGCATTCCAAATCAGATGCTTGGACCGAGATTCTATATGGGCTTGGCTGACGGTCTGAAGGCCAATGTAGATGCTTCAGCTGGGGTGCATTCTTGAGCAAAACATTCATAGAGTGTAATATTTTTCTTGACAAGATGGCTCAAAATTCAGGTTGGATGACGAGAGATACAACACTCACTTCAATAGTGCATTCTGTTGCTCTTGACCCAAATAATACCAATGCAGAAAACATAGCCACTCTCATGACCTAGATGAGCTTGTTGACAAAGAAAATTGACGAGATGGGTACGAAACAGGTGCATATTGTTGATACGACAAATGGAGGCCTATGCACTCCCTGCATAAATCAGTCATATGTTTGCTCGTGGAGTGGAGAGAATGATAACCAGGGCTTCAGAGAAGACAGGAATTACGTCAATAATTTTGGGGGTCAGAGGCAAGGTAGACAGCAATGGGGACCTCAAAATCAGCAGTACAGACCAACCCAGCAACAATACAATACCATTCCAGGGGAAGTACGACCACAAGGCCAAGTCGTGCCTTATCAAAGGCAGCAGGGCTACAATTAGCAGCACCAACAACAGTTGGCTTACCAACCGCCTCATCAACAGCAGGACAGTAATATGATAGAAATCAGGGGCATGCTGCAACAACTCCTTGGGACAAATGGAAAGATGCAAGAAAAGTTAGTCGCACATGATTCGGCTATTAAAGGCATTAAAACTCAATTACGCCAGTTATCTATGGCCTTGAACAATCGCCCACAAGGAATGTTACCTGCAGACACAAACATCAATCAAAAGGAGCAGAACCCAAATCAGCTAAAGGCAGTGAGTCTCAAGAATGGAAGAGATTTAGACAGAGAGCAAGAAGTTGCTCAATCTAGGAGAGATGCAGTGCCAATTACTCCAGTGAAATTAGAGACCGACGAGTCAACGGAGCTCACAGAGGATGTAATTGAATAGGCACAAGTTGACAAAGGTAAGGAGAAGGAATTTGACCAACTCCCAGAACAGGTGGTGGAAAAAGCCCCCAATAAAGAAAAGACACCAAGCAGTGGGCAGAAGCTAACTCTTGCACCATTCCCTCAAAGGTTGGCAAAGCAAAGGAAAGATGATCAATATAGAAAATTCATGGAAATGCTCAGACAAATTCAATTCAATATTCCGCTGATGGATGCTTTGAGGGAAATGCCAAGCTATGCAAAAATGATGAAGGATCTGATGTCTAGAAAATTTGACTTCCATGACCTGTCTACTGTAACTCTAACTCAAACCTGCAAGGTTTCGTTGAACTTAGAGAAATAGAGAGACTAGGAAATAGAGGGGAATTGGATCTGGTGGATCTAGCCCTTCGATAACGGGTTCATCCAAACCCACTATTTTTAAGGGAGAACATAGTATATACTTCATTTAAAACTCATTAAATTTAGTAAATACTAAATTTAAACCCGTAATTTTAAAAAAACGATGAGTTTAGTACATAAGAACTTTGTAGCTAGTATTGGCATTTAGTGGTGCCCCTATCGCCTTAAAAGCTTGGGTCCGCCTCCAGGGATGGATTTATAGGTTTGTTTATGGGGTACGTCAACCCATGATCTTTTCGCAAAATTAGGTAATTTATGTATGTAATTCTTAGAATTGGTCTAATATTATCTGTGGTGCACCCATGTTCTAAAAATCCTAGATCCGTCTCTGATAGTATATGTATAATATATGAATAATCGTATATAATTTAAATACCGACTAGAGAAAATAAAAATAAATTCGGGCTGCTATTTGGGTAAAGATCCCAAAAAAATAGCTATGAAGTGCTAAAACCTATAAGTCACTGAAAAATTGAACATACTTGCTCTGTTATTTTTGGTATTCCAGAGATAGGATTTTCTATTGTTGGTGAATACCTGTGACTTTCAACGGTCTAATTAAGAAAAGTAGATTGAAAAGCTGGATCATTCTAAGTAGACTCAAAAGTAGTATTAAAGATCTTTCTAAAAATAGATGAGCTATCCATACAATTCGATAACAATAAAAACTTACTTGCATTGGGTATTTATACTAGCTTAATTGATACATGACAAGTGTCTATCACTTAATTAGTAGTATTATATATCGTCACCTTGATTTATTTTAATCATGATAAATTAGTATAATTTAGTATAAAACACTATATACAAATAAAATTTTAGCATTTGATAACGCTGCAGACGTACGTGCTTTGTGGAGAGAAGAAGATAAAATTGGTTTCTAGCTACTAAAATTAGCACTCTTTGATTGAACGGTGGCGGGCGGCCCGACGTTAGGGTTCTTGAAGTCGTGTTGACTCTATATATGCTGTGCTGATTTCTATTCAACTACGTCTTTGTGCTTGACATGGCTGGATTTGTTTTGTTCAAGTGTCATCGTCAATGGACCGATTAAACCGATTGAATTGTACCGTGCCGAACCAATTATTAGGTTTCTTTTAATAAAATCGTAGGTTTTTATATAAATATATAATTGTCCCAATAATTAGGGTAGGTTTTTTATTTTATAAAAATAAACTAAAAAAATACCGAATCGTACCGAATAAATTTACATGGAATAAATATATTTATATATTAAATTTAAAAATAATAAAGCATCAAATTTTTCCTTGAACCTTGAAATTATGAAAACGGTTACAAGCCAATAAGTAATTGAACTCAAAATCCTAATTCCCAAACCTATTATACTACTTCTATTGAAACTAAATTATTTTCAGCATATTGACTAGCAAGACACAAGGTATTCTAGTAATTATGAGTAGCAAACTACAATATATGGAATATGTTTCCTTTCGTATGATTTAAATTTATATTTTCAAATATTTAATCTTCTATAAACTTTATTCTTATATTTCCACTCGTGCGATTTATATTTCATTTTTCCTTGTTTAGTTTCTTTTGCACTGCTGTAGAATAGTTGATAGATCTATACTCTAGCCATCTTTTATATATTCTTAATTCATCACCCTTTAAATAGAAAAAATATCTAGAGAGTTTTGCTAATTCCTATAAAAGTACGTATGTTATTGCATTATACTTCTACTAGTGACTTTTAATTGAAACTTAAAAAAATACCAAAAATTAACCGAACTGTACCGATACCGAAGAGAAACCGACATGATTGATACGGTTTTTAAAAGTCTAATATTGGTTATACATAATAGAATAACCGAAAAATTAGTATGGTATAAATTTTATAAAACAACCGGCCGAATCGAACCATTGACACCCTTAGTCATACATATATTAGTTAAACTAATTTCGTCTCAAATCGATCGCATATTTTTACAGTAATTTTGTAAAAAAATATCAGTAATACTTCGTATTTATTGAGTTAGAATTCTAAATCAAATTAGTTGGATCCTGAACTTTGCACAAAAAATTAGAAATGACGAAAAATTTAAATTAGATCAGCAAGAAAAAGGGAAACCCGTATTACAATCATTAGATTATAATACTGCTGTGAGACTGAGACCAATGCAACAAATATGTATAGTTGATCGAGAGATAAAGGAGAAATTTTATAGAAATATTTTTTGAGGCTCTTTAGACAATTGCAATTATCAATTATTTAGCGAACTAGTGAAGCTATTATATTATTCAGAATTTTTTATTTTGATATTAACCTCTTAAATTTAGATTAATACGAAAGAAACAGTTGTTTTCTTTTTTTTACTTTTTCTGATGGTTGTATTATAGATTGATGGAATACATTCTTAATTTAAAGAATTTAATAAAAAAAAATAAGATAGAGCAAGTACCATTATTTTTTATGACTTTTTGACACTTCAAATTAAAAGTATCTATCATTAAGAAAAAAATAAATCTATCTTTCTCGTTAGAATTCATCAACTTGAATCTTTTACATGGCAGGCGGCCCGTCACGGCTTTATTGTACTCGTTTGAGAAAAAAGCAAATTAAGGTTTCATGCATGTATGGGACACGTTTTAAGTAAAAAGGTGACATATAATTCCAAAAAGGTAAGCCTTTCTCCCATTTTAGATAGTAGTTATAAATAGTGGTGTACTAGTATCAAAAGGCAACACAAACTCAGAAACTAATACTGAAAAATCTACATTCAAATTTTCAGAATTTGTAAGTTCTCTTGCAATGGCAACAATTTCATCATTGAATGGAAATCACAAAGATGGGGTTTTTCGCCCAACAACAAATTTTTCACCCAGCCTTTGGGGAAATATATTTAGTTATTCTGCATTGAATAATCAGGTATATATATATATATATCTGTACCTCTTTATTTCCCGTTCACCTTTTTACATAATTTGTTTTGTTATTAAGAGAAAGCATTATTACAGGTGTCCGAGAAAAATATAGAGGAGATTGAAACTTTGAAAAAAGAAGTGAAGCACATGATAGTGAGTATTCAAAGTGACACCGCAGAAAAAATACAATTGATTGATACTCTTGAACGCCTTGGTATTTCGTATCACTTTGAAGAGGAGATTGAAGATCAAATAAGCAAGTTGTTTAATCTAAATGTCATTAATGAAGAATATGACCTATACAATGTTGCGTTATATTTTCGATTGTTTAGGCAACATGGCTATCCAATCTCTCCTGGTATATATGTTTATGTGTACATATTACATTTTTTTTTTAAATTTATATGAATGTTTTTTAAATATAACAAAATATTTTGTGAATTAGATCATTTCAACCAATTCAAGGACAACAATGGAAAATTCAAGGAAACTTTACTTAAAGATGTAAAGGGTATGCTCAATCTGTATGAAGCAGCACAAGTAAGGGAACATGGAGATGAAATATTAGAAGAGGCTCTTATCTTCACAAAAGCACATTTGGAGAAAATAGCACCCAAATTAAGCTCTTCTATTATTAAGAAACAAGTAACACATGCACTCATGCAATCTCTACATAGAGGCATTCCAAGAGCTGAAGCCCATTTTAACATTTCAATTTATGAAGAATATGAATCAAGAAATGACAAGTTACTAAGGCTTGCCAAACTAGATTATAATTTGTTGCAAGTGCTACACAAGAAAGAACTTAGTGAACTCACTCAGTAAGTTCTTTTTTTTATTATTATTTGTGTACTATATATATATATTATAGTGTATTATTTAAGCTAACTAAATATTGCTCTTATTTAATTTGAAGGTGGTGGAAAGATTTGGATCTTGCATCTAAGCTTTCATATGTTAGAGACAGAATGGTGGAATGCTTTTTTTGGACGGTAGGGGTGTATTTTGAACCTCAATATTCTCGTGCTCGAATTATGCTTGCAAAATGCGTAGCTATAATTTCAGTAATTGACGACACATATGATTCATTTGGTACTCTTGATGAACTAGAAGTGTTCACAGAAGTCGTCGACCGGTATGCAAAATTCCATCTTTTATTTCTACTGTATATCTAATGTGATACTTACATTAAAACATTTTCGATCATCACAGATGGGATGTAAGTGAAATTGATCGACTCCCTACCTATATGAAAACAGTATATTCAACTCTTCTCGATCTCTTCAAAGAATACGACATCGAAGTAAAGAAACAAGATATAAGTTTCAATGGAGTTTATTACGTCAAAGAGGCGGTATGATCACTTAAAACTCTAATACTATCATTTTCCTTTCATTTTATCATGAGTTTAATTAATATTAATATATTTCTTGAAACAGATGAAAGAAATCGTTAGGAGTTACTACATTGAAGCACAATGGTTCATCAAAGGGAAAAGTCCACCATTTGAAGAATACCTAAGTAATGCACTCATCACTGGAACTTATTACCTACTTGCTCCAGCTTCATTATTGGGCATGAAATCAGCTTCAAAGGCATCATTCGATTGGATGATGAATAAACCTAAAATTCTTGTGGCTTCTGCATTAATTGGTCGAGTCATTGATGACGTTGCAACTTACAAGGTATATATTAATATAATATAAAACTACGTTTCAATTCCAAATAAGATGAGGATTTGCTAATGATCTGTTTTTTCCTTCTTATATATAGATTGAGAAAGAAAAAGGACAACTTGTGACGGGAATAGAATGCTATATGAAAGAGCACAATTTAACAGTGGAAGAAGCAAGTGCACAACTTTCTGAAATGGCTGAAAATGCATGGAAGGATTTGAACAAAGAATGCATTAAGCCAACTTCAATGCCAGTTGAAATCTTGAAGCCAATCGTAAATCTAACACGTCTAATTGATGTGGTTTACAAGAATAATGAAGATGGATATAGTAATCCAAAGAATAATGTGAAGTCTGTAATTGAAGCCTTACTCGTTAATCCCATCAACATGTAGGGGACTCAAAGGAAGATGGTCAATCGAATAAGTTAATGTATATCATTATAGTATTTTAATAAAATATCCATTAATAAGTGATTTGTACTCCATCGTATTAGTTTTGTTAACTCAATTTAGATTGGAAATGTTTTATTTGTGTGAATAAATTGTATGTACCTCGAGAGTGCAGAAATTTTCATTAGTTATCCTTTTCTGGGACAAGTGTTTAGTAAATAGTTTTATTTTTATTTTTCTTGCAACTTATGGATTTTTTAGATTACGATCTAAAGACTCATTTCGACCATACTGAAAATTTTATGAGAAATATTATACCACTATTTAATATTTTGTAAGTTATTGCAAAAGTTAGACAATGACAGTCTAATGTTTCGTTTGTAAGGTTGAATAATGTATGAGCAAACATTAATAGATCCAAGTAATAGTATCCGAAAGAATAGTTTTCTAAGAGCTATATATGTACGACTTTTAAAAATATGTACAAAATCTAAATGGTGGCTTAAAAATGGAATATTTGCGTAAATCAGCCCTGAGAGTATCACTCAGTTGGATGCTCTGTCAAGTATTTTATAATTTTATTTTTCAGTACCGATAGAAACAATCTGCCATAAAGATATTTAAGTAGATAAAAAATCTTCCCAACAATAATTGACTGAATTAAAAACATAAAAAGAATGTTAATAATTTCACCAAAAATCACAAACTAGAAATACAAATTTAAAAATTCAAAGAATGTGAACAAAAAAATTCTACAAGCTTATTTAATAAATAAAATATGACACATTGTTTCAATTTGATTTTCTTTAACGTTGAGATATTTTGTTTTATGAACTTTATAATGACGGTGACTTTTGTAAAATTAGCATTAATGTTCTTTTATAGAATGTGTGATAACTATAAACTATTAAGCCAAATATAAAGCAATAGAAGCAAGTTAAATTATTTTACTAAATTATTCTTTATTTACTCCTCAAATATGAAAGACTTTTTAGAAAGTTGTACAAATCAGGTGGTGAACCAACTGAGCTACTAAAACTCTCTAATTAATTCTTCTTGATTTCTTAAAATGACACTTATTATAGACCAAATTTAAAAGATCAAAAAACACTTAAATATGGACCAATAATAAAATTGTAACTACAAATAACTTTTTGTCTACAATATAAATTTTATAAACATTTTAGATTATATATGCAGATAATAAATTATTATTACTTTTGACTATGAACCATATAATGATAGGTCAAATATTACTTTTATAGTTAAAGACATTGGCCTACCAGATGCCTACTTTTTAATTATTGTCACTTTCCCCAAACTTTTCTTGCGACGATGTAATCTTATATTTTCTAGAAAAGTAGTTAGTTAAGGAAAATGAAGTTCATGTTCTCTCCAATAAGCGTTATCTCCTAATTTTTTGGTTAATGGTTGGTTGATTCGTTCTTCTTCTACTGATTTGTGTTAGCATCATTCTACTTTAAAATTTGTTTTGTTCTCTCCAATAAGCTTATTTCCTAATTATTTGGTTAATGGTTGGTGATTCGTTTTTCTTTTATTGATTTGTGTTAAAATTTGTGTATTAATTTTCTTTTGAAGGATGGATAATCTAGCTGCTCTTTTTTGGGTTATGATTTTGTGTTGTGATGTGTCATTATTCTTCTAATTTAATATCTTACAACTCAGTTTGGAGTTTCAATTAAGAAATATTTTGTTAAAGCACCAAAAACAAGTCCGGCGTCTCAAAACCAACCTAACTGAGAACAGCAAAAAGCAGATATTACTAGTTCGATTTACAATTTAGCTAAATGCTACCTAGATTGATTTTACATTTTCGGTTGCACCCATTCATAAATTTTTATTTTTATTTTTATCTTTTCAAAATTTGAATCCGCGCAGCGAAATTCCTACCTTTACTATCGTATTTCACAAAAATACAAAATACACCCCACCCGAAACTCAAAAAATACAAAATGGTGTGATCACCTAATTCTTTACCATATTTGAATTTTTTTTTTCACCACTTTTTAGTTGGTAATTATTTTTAAAGCTTTTGTTTTATCCTTTTATACGTTTTAAGGAAATTAAAAATAAAAAAGGTTATATTTTTAGATAATTAGTCTTGTTTAATTTATTTATGTTTTTAAAAAGAAAGAAAATTTTTAAAATATATTTTATTAGTATATTTGTTATTAGTCTAAAGACTTTCTATAAATAAATATTGAATATTTAGTACTTTAATCCTTTGGTTAGTAAGATGTAGTATTTTACACTTTTACCTATTATCTCTAAATAAATAAATAAGAGTAAAAAGAAAAATGAACGAAATGGTGGTACAGCGATGTGGCCTTGAAAGGTTTACACAAATCTTGTACATGCACTTTTTCCAATTGGCTACCCACTTTTCAAAAAGCTCACATGGGGTAGGAATCCAATTTGTCCTTCCCCCAATTTTCATTCTACTATACATATAACAAAAAGTCAAAAAAGGAGGAGGAAAGTCAAAAAAGAGAGGAGGAAAGAGAGGGGATATGAGAGAGAAGCAAAAAGAGAGGAAGTTAGATATGGGGACAGAGAGAAGAGAGAGAAGAAAATGTAGCATAAAAAAAATATATACGTCGATGTTACATCCTGTAGTATTGTACGTTAAAATTATCGTAAGATAATTCACCTCAGTTCAAGGACAAGATTATTTGGAGATTATAAATATTATGCTACTTCAAATAAGTGATAAGTAAATTCGTGAAGGTGAGAGAGTGAGCGAATCGAAGAAAGTGAGTTTTCGTCGAAGTTTGACAATTTGGGGATAAAATATGGTGCAAACTATAATACCCCGTATTTATGAACTTGTGTCATACAAGGTACCACATGACCATGATAGTGAAGTGTATAATGTATGTTAAAAGTGATTAGTATTTTAAATAATTTGGGATAATTTTTAATTATGTGGGTAATTGGTTAATTATTGGATTAGTGGAGGATTAATAAGTTGATTAAGGAAAGGGGTAAATTATTTTGGATAAACTTGATAGGCTCCTAACGTGGCAGCATATTTTGGCCAAATTAATGACACTCATGTAATTTGGTAGCACATTAGAGGACTTGTGGCCAAAGTCATCAAAGTGTAGGGCCCACCCCAACTAATATAAAAGACTTCTTGAATTCACAAAATAAGATACTTACACCTCTAAAGTGAAGGATGAACTTTAGCAAAGAAGAGTTATATAAGATTAGGATCAAATTTTGAAGGGATGGTAAATGGAGGTGGACCCCACTGTCCACTAACTACAACTATTATATTTACTTTTTGATGGATAAACTTATGTCTTGAAAATCTATGTATATCATCAGCAACGCTTTATCAAGTGTGGAGGCAATAAATATTTTGCCTCTTCTCAACATAATTTAGAAAAAGGTCCCCTTGAGAAATATGAGCTACAACGTGTGAAGGTAAAGATATGTCCTTGCATGGAAGAAAAATGCGAAGAATGACATAGAGATTATGCCTACGTCGGTTTCCTCCGGATGATTTCAAATCAGCTTCAAAGCAAAGTAAGTTAGAAGAAAAGTGTAATCTTTCTCAAAGACAGTATACAGGTTTTGCGCACCACCTAGATCTCGTTGTTCTGTTTTGGCGCGTTGGTTAATCCGGGCTTTCTTCTATGTGAAGTAAGGAGGAATAAGAGTATTTCTTGAAAAATAAGGTAAGAATTTTTCTCTCCTTGGTATATTTAAATTCTTCCAGATCATGACTAAATTGTAGGATGAGAATTATGGGATTAATAGCAAAAACTCGTATTTTGATGTTGCTACTGTTGTATCAATTATTCAGTAATTTTTTAAGTTTTTTTTCGTGGCTGAAAATCATTGGAGTAACTTGGATATATAGTTGTAGTCATCATTGATATGTGTTTTGAAGGAAAGAAAATATTGAAGAAGTATATTTGATAATCGTAGCCGAGCTTGCCGCTTGTTGTATCATAGTTTGGGTTGTAAAACTTGTTGTGGGAGTTGCTAGTTATGTTGTTGTTTTACCTTGACCATGGTAGGCTTGAGGGAATCATAAGAACTGGGGAAATATCGCATGTTTCATTGTAGGATTGCTCTGGTTATTATTGTTGGTATATGGTATAGGAGGAGGCTCTTGTTACGGAGAAGATGCTGCCCAAATTTACATGAACGAGCTATCAGTTTAAGTTGCGGACTTAGCCTTTACTCAACACTAATTTTGAATCTCCTTATGCTATGGTAGATTAAGTTGAGTTGTTTAAAGAATTGCTTGAAAGGTATTGCAGACTCAACAGAGTTAAGGTATGTTAAGGCTATCCCTCATTTTCTTTTGGCATGATCCGTACGATACAAACGAAACGAGCAAATACGCAACTTTTATAAATGATTCTATTCATAAAAATATTAGGGATATCTATATTCTTGATTCCCTATGTGTATTATTATTCTATCATATGTTCATAGGTCTCAGAAAAATACGCAAGTTGATAAAGTTTATTTCATGATATTAATCAAAGGCATAGTGA